AGCCCTAAGCTGACAGAGTCCGACACTGATGGCAAGGTTCCCAATTGGGCTAGCCCATAAGCTGGCGAGATACTACCTGTACATGCAGGGCTCCGCGATGGCAGCGAAGGCTCTAAGCCAATGTGGTCCGGTACAGGTAGTGATGGGTCTGGCTTGGTGAATCCGGAAGGTGGCGGCGCCGGGCCGGGCCATGCGGGTGTTCTTGGCGGCAGTAGCGGGCCCGAGGACAAAAAGTCAAGGGCTGGCAGTGACAGGCTGAGTTGGGTCACGCCATAGGTGGACGCGCTGCTTTCCACTCGGAGGTGTGCCCTAGGCGATGGTGTTGGGCCCAGGTGCACCATGTCCAAGATTGGCAAGATAGAACCGAGTCGAGTCAGGCCGTAAATCAAGAAAGACGGTCCACATCGAACGGAGCCCCGCAACGACGTGGCAAAGCCGGGGTGGATGGAGTTTAGAGCCGACGATGGCAAGTCAGGTCGGGACAACCCGTATGTGGAAGGCATGCTGTCTGGGTGAGCGGAGCTCTTGATAGGTAGCGGGGAACCCAATTGGAGAAGGTCAAGCACTGGCAAGCTGGAGCCCATGAGCGAGACACCGAATGCAGGCAGCAGAAAATCAAGCCTCGCAAAGCTTCGTGAGAGCATGAGCGTGCCGGGATGGATTGAGTCCAAGGCCGAAACTGATGGTCCGAGCCATGTCAGGCCGTAGGTCGACACCAAGCTGTCTAGATAACCATAGGTTTGCAAGGAAATGGCAAATCCCGAATGGATGAAATCCGACGCAGGCATTGAGCTGTCCAGCCTTGACAGCCCATAGACGAATGGCGATAAGTCCGTTCGCACAGATGAGCGCAAGAGGAGCGACAAGCCTGAATGCACAAGATCCAGAGCCAAAAGCAGCAAGCCCAACCTCGACATGCCGTAGACAGGAGTCAAAGGGCCGGGGCGAGCAGGGCTCCGAAGAAACAGCACACTGCCGAAGTTTGCGAATTGCAATATAGAGAACCTGCCGCCGTAGCGAATCTCACCAATGAGCAAGATTGAAGAGCCAACATGCACAAACGACTGCAGCGACGACATCAGGCCCGTCGCCACAAAGTCAAGTGCTGACATAAACGATCCTAGGCGTGTCATTCCGAACACGGGCAAGCTGCTCTCAAGTCGAAAATAACTCCTCAGGGACAGCAGGAGCTCTGAATGCATAAAGTCAAGGGCAAGCACGGCGCCTTCAATGCAGGCCCCACCGAGCAGCGAAGTCGAGCTCCCAAGACGACCAAAGCATCTCATCGGCGAGGCAGACTCGAGATGCACAAGGTCGAGAACAAGTAGCAGCGGGCCAATCCACGTCATACCATAAGGTGGTGAAAGAAAGCCCAAGCACGCGAGGCCTCTCGAGGATGGTGAGAAGCCCAAGTGCACGAAGTCTAGGACAAGGGGCGGAAAGCCCGTCCGGCTGATTCCATAAATTGGGGGGCTTGAGTCGAAATAAGCAAGGGCATGCAAAAGCAAGAACAACTCTAGATGGAAGAGATCAGGTACTGGCATGGCACCATCTGTGCGGCACTGCCCAAAAAAGAGCAGAACGCTGCCAGCATGGCACGTATTTCGCACGGATGAGGGAGAACCAAGTAAAACAAGATCCGATGCCGGCAGTAAAGGTTCTGGGTGGGCTAAGCCATACGCTGGCACGCTCGATTCCAGACACATAAAGCTTTGAAGCAACAAACTGAAGCCGAAAGATATGGAGTCCGAAGCCAGCGTGGGTGGACCAGGCTTTGTCATGCCGAACACCAGCAGGGAGCTTCCCGTTCGCATGAAAGATCTCGACGGCATGGACAAGCCCAGGTGGATCAGGTCAGGCGCTGACAGGATCAGGTCTGGGCAGACCATGCCGTACGCCAGAACTGGTGGGCCGTATCAAACAGGCGCCCGCAGCAGCACAGGAGGCTCTGGGTGGACGAGGTCTGAAACCGACAGGCTTAAGCCCAGCTGGCCAAGGCCGTAGGCCAACACAAATGGTTCACAGCGGATGAAGCTTCTCAGGGACAGCAAGGGATCAAAATGCGAGAGGTCCGAGGCAAGCAGGAAAGGTCCTGGCCGCGTTATTCCAAAGAGCGGTGGAAACGACCCGAGGCAGGCAAGGCCCCTCGAAAGCATAGCGAAATCAGAATGAACGAGGTCCAGGATGGGAGATGGGAGGCCCAGCCGGCTCATTCCATAAGGGGACAGGCTCAGACCCAGCTGAATGTGGCTATGCAGCAGCAGAAACGGGTCGGGGTGAATGAGGTCCGGCACAGGTGAGGGCAAGTCTGAGCAGCACATCCCGTAAGTTGGCATGGCTGGTTCAAGACAGAGCATACCATGGAGTGGCAGTGGAAACTCTGGCGATGCGAGATCCGGCACAGAAAGCAGCAGGTCTGAACGCGACATTCCAGAAGTGGGTGGACTCAAGCCTGGTCAGGCGAAGCTTCGTACAGGTGGCAACAAACCCATCAAGGCAAAATCGAGCGCGAACAGAAGCAGGTCCAGCCACGCCACCCCAAACGACGGAGGCGCTGAGCCAAGACAGGCAGGACCACGCAAAAACAAGCCTGACTCAAGTCGGATGAAGTCCAACACGAGCGATGGGAATTCCAATTGCACCATGCCGTAAGCAAACAAGAGAAGGCCGAGCCACATGTGAGATTGCAAGGGCAAGCACGGCCCAGTTATTGCAAGGTCTGGAACCAGGGGCGGCAAATCTGAACAACTTGTGCCATAAGCTGGTGAGGACTTGTCAGTTTGCATGTGGGAGTGCAAAGGCGGCGGCAAGTCGAAGTGGGCACAATCTGGCGCGGAGGGCGTCAGCTCAAGACAAGCAATGCCATAAGCAAGTGGAGCGCTGCCAGGCTGTGCAAGGGCCCTGAGAAATGACGGGGACTCTGAGTGCACAAGGTCCGGAGGTGGTGAGAACAGGCCAGGCCAGCACATGCCAAACACCAACAATGTGAGGCCTATGCAGGCAAGAGTCTTTGCCGGCATTAAGCTGCCAGCATGCACGGGGTCCAGCACAGGCAGGGAACTGTCCAGCCTGGACAGACCGAAAGCAAGAGGTGCAAAGCCCGTCCGCAAGAAGGTCTTCGGCGACGGGCTCGAGCCTGAGTGGACAAGGTCCGAGGCAAGGGGCGACAGGCCGAGTTGAGCCATCCCGTACACAAGCATTGCCAGTTCCAAGCGCATATGGCTTCTAAGAGACAGGGAGGAGCCTGAGTGCAGGAGATCTGGAACGGGAGGCAGCGGACCTAGTCTGCAGACTCCGGAGACCAGCAACGTCGGCCCTGCTCATGCAAGCGTGCGAGGCAGTGACGGGAACCCAGTGTGCACAGGGTCTGGGGTTGACAGTAAGGGCTCTGGTAGGCTCATGCCAGAGGCCAATGTAAAGCTTCCGAGTCAAAGGAGGCTTTGCAGCAGCAGTGGCGAGCCAAAGAGAGAGGGATCCGGAGCAAACAACAATGGCTCCGATTGGCTTAGACCGTATGCCAGCAAGGCGGATCCGATGCGAGCAGATGTTCGTGTGGACAGTAGGAATTCGGCCTGAGCGAGGTCCGGCACCGAGGGTGACGGGCCGGGCCAACCGATGCCATAGACCGACAAAAAGCTGTCAATTTGCATGAAAGTCTGCAGCAGGGGCGACGAGTCTGAGTGCACGGGGTCCAGAACCAATGGCAAGAAGCCCATCCTAGCCACTCCAGAAGCCAGCAGCAAGCTTCCTGGTCTGAAGTATGCCTGCAGCAACAGGGAAAAGCCTATCTTCACGAGGTCTGGCACAAGCAGAAGGAGCTCCGGCTGCGACACCCCATATGCCGACAAAAAAGGGCCGATTCGGCAAGGGGCTCGGGCGGACGGCAGAGGACCAATCTGCACGGAGTCCGAGGCGAGCAGCAGGAAATCTGGCCAAGACAAGCCAAAGAGCAGCAACAGGAAACCCGGCCAAGCGGAGCTACGAAGAAGCAGCGGGGACTCGGGATGGATAGAGTCCAGCACCGAGGGAGAGAGCCCCGGCTTTGTCAAGCCATAGGCTGGCGCAGGCAAGCCGGGTTGCACAAAGGTCCTCGATGACAAGAATGGACCCATGTGGCAAGAGTCAAGCAGAGAAGCCAAGAGGCCTGGTCGCAGGAGGCCGTATGCTGAGCACGAGCTGCCAGATCGCACAGAGCTCCGCAGAGGAAGCAGTGGCCCGAGGTGGCCGGGATCGAGCACTGACGGGAGAGGCCCTGAACATGAGATCCCGAAAACCAACAAAGTGGGCTCAAGTTAAGCGAGCGACTGCGGAGGCGAGGGTAGGCCTGAAGACAGGAGGTCTGATGCCAGCGGGGTCGGGCCAGGTCTGCAAAGCCCAGAAGCCAACAGACTGCTGCCGGTGCACATGAGGGCCTGTGCCGGTGGTGAGGAGCCAAGGCTGATCATGTCTGGCAACGGCAAGGACGGGTCAAGACGGGTCATGCCAAAGAGCAGCGATGTCAGGCCCAGGTGCAGGAAGCTCTGTGAAGATGATGGGAGGCCCGTGTTTACAGTATCCAGAACCAGCAGAATCGAGCCAGGCCACGTTATTCCATATACAGGCATCAACGGCTCCATGCGCATGAAGTGCCGCAGCGAAACCGGCGGACCTGTGGACACGGAGTCCGGAGTAGGCGGCGGACTGCCAAGGCAACTCAGGCCGAAGGCCGACATGGATGGACCCAAGCAGCAGGAAGTTTGCAGGGGAAGCAGCGGCCCAGCATGGACGGGATCCAGTGCCAAAAGGGACGAGCCTGAAAGGGAGATACCGTAAGCTGGTGCTAACAACCCAGGTCTTGCAAATGCGTGAAGCAGCGGGGACGGACCCAAGTGCGCGGGGTCCGGGACAAACAGTGGAGGTCCTGAACAGGTAATTCCATAAACGGATGACGCCAGGTCGAGTCGTGTGGGGCCCCGCAAGCTCATGGACGGCTCGGACTGCGCAAGGTCCAGAGCAAAAGGGAAGAAGCCTGAACGAGTGACACCGAAGGGTAACATACTTGGCTCCGAGTGCAAAGGACTACGTGGCAGCGCCGGCAATCCTAGGTTGATGCGATCCGGCAGGAACAAGAAGCTTTCAGGCCATACTAGTCCGTACACTAGCAGTGCGCTCCCTGAACGCAAGAAGCTTTGTGGTAGCGAGATGGGTCCCAAGTGAACAGGGTCTGGCACAGGAGGCAACGATTCTGAGCATTCCATGCCGAAAGTCGGCAGGAACGGACCCGTCTGCATCAGCGATTGCAGGAACAGCAAAGAGCCGAGATGAACAAGATCCAACACCAGCAAACTTGAGTCAGGCCGCGCAACGCCATAAACAAACAAGGAGCTGTCGAGGCACGCCGTGGTCTGCGGTAGTGGAGGCAAACCCAGGTGCAAGAAATCCAGCGCTGGAGTCGCAAGCCCCGTCCGCGACAGGCCGTATGCAGGCAGAGAGGGGCCGAGGTGAAAAGATCCTTGAGGCAACGTCGGCAGCCCAGTATGCACAGAATCTATCACTGGCGATAGAAGCTCCAAACAGCACATACCAGATACCGGTGGCAAAAATTCTGCCTGCATGGGAGTTCGCAACAACAGCAAACTGCCAGGATGCATGCAGTCCGAGGTAGGTAGGGAGAAGTCTGGCCGACCCAAGCCATAAGTCGAGAGAGAAAGGTCTGTTTGGGAGAGGCCCCGCGGCAACGAAGAGGATCCCATCTGCACGAAGTCCAGCACAGAGGGCGAAAGCCCCATCTGATTCAGACCAAACAAGAACAGCGTTAGCTCAAGATAGAGGAAGGATTGCAGAAACAAGGACAGGTCAAGATGCACAAGGTCGAGGGCTGGCAGCAGAGATCCCAAACATGACATTCCGAACGACGACGAGCTGCTTCCAGTTTGGAAGGGGCTGTGTGACGGCAGCGGGAACCCAAGGTGCGTACAGTCAAGAAGCAATGGGGACGAACCCGACCTGAACATCCCGTAAACAAGCATGGAAAGATCAAGGCGCAGGAAACTGTGTGAAGGCATCGCGGGCTCTGGGTGCACAGAGTCCGATAGAGGCAGCAGTAGCTCCGGCTGACTGAAGCCGTAGGCGAGCAGCACACTACCGAGTCGCAGAGGCCCTTGCAGCAGCATCAAACTCCCAGACTGAACAAAGTCCGACACCAAGGGCGGTAAACCCAGCAGCGACATGCCGTAGGCCAACAGAAAGAGGCCGAGGCACATCGGGCCACGTGACAAAAACGCCGATCCCAAATTTGCAAAGTCCAGCGCAGAAGTCGAAAACCCGAGCTTTGACACGCCGGAGACTGGAATTGAAGACTCAAGCCAACAAGGGCTTCGCGAGGGGAACGACAAGCCCAGAGCTGCAAAATCCGATGCCGATGGGAACGAACCGAGCCTCGCTATTCCATACGCAGACATAAGGAGGTCTGGCCATGCAGAGGCCTGCAGCAGCAGCGTTGATCCTGAATGGAAAGGGTCAAGGACAGACATGGAGAGGTCGAGCTGCGAGAAGCCACAGGCTGGCAGCAGCAGGTCTGAACAAAGAAGCGACTGCAATGGTGGCAATGACTCCGGATTGACACAGTCGGGGGCAAGCAATGGCAGTTCCAGGCGGGCCATGCCATACAACGACAGAAGACTTCCCGAGTACGCATAGCTTTGGAGCAGCGACGGGAACTCGATGTGAACAAGGTCTGGCACGAAGGGTGGCAAGTCAAGCTGCCCGCATCCGTAGGCCAATAGAGTTGGGCCGAGCCTCAAATAGCTCCGAAGGGAGAAACTCAAGCCCAGCTGTACAGAGTCTGGTGCGGAAGGGGGTGGGCCTGGGCATGCAGTTCCCCATGCCAGAAGGGGCAAACCAAGGTGTGCAGGCCCATGCAAGGGTAGGAACAACTCAATTCCAACAAGGTCAAGTGTTGAAGCCAGGGAACCAATGCACGACAGGCCATAGAGCAGTAAAGAACTGCCCATGCATGCAAGGCTTCGCAAGGGAGGTGTCGAGTCTGAGTGGGTGGGGTCCGGTGTCAACGAAATGAAACCTAGCCAAGCCAGACCATACACCAAGAGACTCTTACCAGTTTGGCAGAGTGCCTGCACCGATGGCAAGGACGCAAAGTTTACAGGGTCCAGTACTGAGGGCCTTTCGCCGAGCTGTGTCAAACCGTAGACTGGCAGCAGACTGCCTGGCTGGCAGAGGCCTTGCGGAGGTGTCAGGAAGTCGGGACTGATATGATCCGGCACCAAAGGAGAGGAGCCTAGCCGAGCCAGTCCATAGGTGGGCGTGAGGGGGCCGGAATGCACGGAGCCCCGAGGAAACGTCGTCAACCCGATGTTGACGGAATCACATGCTGGTGAGCTCGAGCCTGACTTCACCAAGCCGTAAATAGACAGCACCAACCCCATTCTGATGGAACTTCTGAGCGAAGCAAAGGGGCCGGAGCCAATGAAATCCAGAATGAGCAAGGGAAGGTCAGGATGGGTGATGCCCGTGGCGGACGAAGGCAAACCCAATCTCGCGGATGACCTTAGAAGCAGCAAGGAGTCAGGATTGGCAAGGTCAAGGGGTAACAATGGTGAGCCTAGTTGCATGCAGCCATAGGGCAACAGCGAAAGGTCAAGCTGCATAAGGCTTTGCAAGGACATCGACGGGCCAGAGTGGCAGGAGTCCAGAGGCGGCAGAAAGAAGCCCAACCGTGTCATACCCCAGACAAGTGGCAACAGATCGAGTCTCACAGAACCTCTGAGCAGCAAGGCTGGCCCGGGCTGCGCAAAGTCTGAAGGCAGCATTGTCAATCCGAGGCGAAGCATTCCAAAAGCAGATAATGTCGGCCCCAGATGAAGGAGACTTCGCAAGGGCGTAACGCTGTCCGAGTGAACCAAGTCTGGTGCAAGAAGCGGGAAGCCTGGCGCCGTCATGCCGTACAGTAACAGCGGGCTGCCAGGTTGCAGATGGCTGCGAAGCAACGAGACCGGACCGATGTTGACAAGGTCCAAGGTGGGCAGTGGGAACTCCAAGTTGCTAATTCCCCAAGTGGACAGAGACGGGCCAAGGCGTGCGAAGCTCCGTACAGGTGGACTGAAGCCGGCGTTGATGTAATCTAGAATTGGCATCGACAGGTCAAGGGTCATGAGGCCATAGAGGAGAAGCAAAAGACCAGGCCACAAGAAGCCTCTTAAAAACAAGAGCAAGTCCAGGTTCGCACAATCGAGCGGAGGCGGCATTGGGCCGAGGCGGGTCATGCCCCAAATAAGCAGCAGGAACCCGGGACGTACAAAGGTGTGAGTTGAAGTCGGGAGATCTGTGTTCACGAAGTCCAGCACGGACAAGGTCAATTCCGCGCGGGCCAGACCATATGCAAAGAGCATCGGTTCTGGGTGGAGGAAGGTCTTGGGAAGTGTCAGCAAGTCAGATTGAACATAATCCGAGGCCGACGAAGGGAAGCCTAGTTTGCTCATGCCATAGATCGACGTGGAAGATCCTGGGCACAAAGAGGCCCGTAGCAACAAGAGCGGTCCCAGCTGCACAGAATCAGGCACCAGCAAGAATGCTTCCAGACACCCGATTCCATAAGCCAACAGAAATGAGTCTGGTCATGCAAAACCTTGGGTAGGCATGGAAGATGCAGCTACAGCACTGCCTCGCACGGGCAGTCCGGGTCCAGGAATCGTCTCCTTCCATACTGAAAGTATGCTTCCCGGCCTGGTGAGCCCTCGGAGAAAAGACGTTAGGCCTGAGCTGACGGAGTCTAGGGCAAGGAGGGGGAATCCCAGCTGCGACATCCCATACACGGACATAACAAGGCCTGGGCAGATGTACCCACGCAAAAACGGTGTGCTTCCCAGGCTGATAGGGTCCGGCACGGGCAGTGAGCTGTCCAGGCGAACCATGCCGTAAACTGGGAGCGCGCTGCCACAGCGAATGGATGAGCGAAGTGGCAAGAACAGCCCTGGATGCGAAGGATCCAGCGGGAGCATCGAGAGTTCTAAACAAGCCATGCCAGAAGCCAGCGAGGAGAATCCCGACTGAACGAACCCGTGAAGAGAAGCCGAGAAGCCTGCATTGAAGAAGTCAAGAGTCGGCGGTGACAAACCTAGACAGGTCAAGCCAGAGGTAGGAAGCGCAAGGCCTGATTTTGAAAGGCTCCTCGGTGGCGACAACAAACTCATTGAGACGAGATCAAGAACAGACGTAACTAATCCAAGTCGGGACAAGCCATATGCAAGCAGCACGGGCTCGGGCCTCAAGAAGCTACGAAGTGAGACGCTGCTGCCCAAGTGGATGAGATCCAGCACGAGAGGCATGGACCCTGGGCAAGCCACTCCAGACGTTGACATCGGACTCCCCGATCATCCGAAAGTCTGCAGAGACAAGATGGAACCCAAGTGCAAAAAGTCTGGGATCAGCGTCAACAGCCCCAAGCAAGACATGCCATAGACAAGCGGCAGTGATCCAAGGCAGAAGTGTCCCCGCAAGGGCGGCAACGGCCCTGAGTGACAGAAGTTCAGGGCCAACATTGACTCGTCAGTTCGCGTAATACCAGATACAGGCGTGGCAGGCCCCAGACAACTGTGGCCACGAGGTGATGTCATGGAGCCCGTGTGAACAGGATCTGGAGCTGAAGGTGACGAGTCCAGCCACGACACCCCAGACACTGGCACCAAAGAGTCAAGACAGCTGAAGCTGCGTATGGAGGGACTAAGGCCCATGTGTACGAGATCCAGAGCGGACAGGAGAAAGTCCAAGCGGGAAACTCCGTATGCAAACGGGGAACTACCTATCTGAACGATGCCTCTCGGTGACAGGGAGGGACCCAAATGGAGAGAGTCCAGCACAGAGAAAGAGCTTTCCATCCAAGTCATGCCATATGCTAAAGTCGTGAAACCCGACCACGCAAAACCCCTAGGCGACGGAAGGCTTCCAAAAGTGCAATAGTCCAGCACCAGAAGTAGAAAGCCAGCACAGAACATGCCATACAATAGCAAGGAGCTACCGGGGTGGGCAAAGCTCCTCGGTGGCAGAGGCAAGCCCATGTGCACAGAGTCAGGTGCCGGAAGTGGCAGCTCAAGGCGTGTAAGTCCGTAGGGCAACAAGCTCGACCCTGGTCGTGTTGAACCTCGCGGGGACAATGACAGCCCTAAATGCAAGAAGTCAGGCACCAACGAGGATGGGCCAAGACGCACGACTCCAAAGACAGGCGTGGGGGAACCCGTACACAGGAAGGATTGCAAAGGCAGCGGCAGGCCAAGAGTCACGAGATCGAGGGCGGGCATCAACGGCCCGGTTTGCATAACACCATAAGCAAGAAGTGCGAGCTCCGAGTGTGCAAGTGCCCTTGGTAGCGGGAGTGGCTCCATATGCACAAGGTCAGGTACAAAGGAGGACGAGCCTGATCTGGTCATGCCATAAGCCAGTAGCAATGATCCCAAGCATGCAAGGCTTTGGGGTAGCAGGCTGCTTCCCATGAGGACAGAATCCGGTGCAAGCAGGGGCGATCCTAGGCATGACAGCCCAAAGGCAGGTACAGACGGGCCAATGTGTGCGAGGCCTCTCAACAGCAGCATGAAGCCCAAGTTCATGCAGTCCAGAATAGAGACTGTGCTCTCAAAGCGAAAGCACTTGAAAACTAAAGTCGCTGAGCCTGCATGAAGGGGGGATCGCAGGGGAAGTGAGCTGCCGAGACCTGCAAAGTCAAGGAGCAACAGCGGAAAGCCCAGTCGCATCACTCCATATGCTGGGAGTGGGCTGCCAGAGTGAGCAAAGCTTCGCAGAAACGACAAGCTACCAAGATGGATGAGGTCTGGGGCTGGTATGAATGAATCTAGACCCGAGAAGCCATAGACAAAGGTCGAGGAGCCCAACCAGCAAGGGCTTTGTGATGACAGAGCGCTGCCAGTCGTCACAAGGTCCAGAGCTGACATAGCGAAGTCGAGCCAGACCATGCTGTAGGCCGACGACAACTCGCCCAAGCGTGCAAAGCAAGTGAGAAGGAGAGGGCTGCCAGGATGAACGGAATCGAAGACGGACAAAGACGATCCCGAACAAGTCATGCCAGATGCAGACAAACTCAAGCCTGGCCGCACACAGCTGTGTGACGGTGGTGGAGGTCCAAGCTGGGCAAAGTCCAGTGCTAGTAAACTCGAACCTGGGCGGGTCATGCCAGATGCGGAAAGCGGCAAGTCCATGCAAAATGGACCATGCAAGGATAGCAGCAGGCCTGAATGCAAGAAATCCGAGACCGGAAGAGACAACTCCGGCCGAACAACGCCATACACTGGCAACGACGAGTCAAGCCGACATGAGCTGTGAAGAGGGGGCAGAGGACCCGGATGAAAGAGATCTGGCACGAAAAGCGACGGATCTGAGCAGGTCATGCCAGAAGCAAGCAAAGAGAAACCAGATCTTGTGGAGCCCCGGGTCAACGAAGATGATTCAGCATTGGCATGATCTGGCAGCAACAGCAGAAGGCCTGGTCTGGTCAGGCCATACACCAGCGTCAAGGAGCCCGATTACAGGGATGTTTGCGGTGGAGCAGACGACTCAAGATGCAAGTGGTCCGAAGTCGGCATCGGCGAGTCCAATCAGCTCATGCCGTAAGTCAGCGTCGAAGGCTCTGGGCAGAGGTGGCTGTGCAAAGACATGCTCGGGCCCAGGTGGATGAGGTCAGGGATCGGCAGGATAGGCCCCAACCGTGTCATGCCAGACGCAGGTAATGAAAGTTCAAGTCGGGCAAGGCCCCTCAACAGCAGCAGCAGCCCCAAGCTAATGAGGTCTGGCACTGGCGCTGGAGGACCCGGCCTCACAATGCCGTAAGCGAGTGTTGAAGGGCCGAAGCATGCCAGCGTTCGGAGCAGCAAGGAAGGTTCTGAGTGCGCAGGGTCAGGTGGCAGCAGTGGCAAACCCAGGCGCAGCAGACCATAGACCGACGGCAAGCTGCCCGATTGTGCAGGGGCATGCAGCAGTGTGGAGGAGCCAAAGGTTACGAAGTCCGATGCCGGCAAAGGTGACCCAGGTAGGGAACAGCCAGAAGCAAGCAAAGTGAAGTCGGAGCAAGCGGATGCTCTGGGCGGAGGCAAACTGCCGGAGGACACAGGGTCCGGAACAGGAATCGGGAAGTCCAATTGGGACAAGCCGTAAACAAGCAGCACAAGCCCGATCCACACGGAGCTGTGCACCAATAGCAAGGAGCCGAGATGGACGAAGTCTGAGGCCAGGGACAAAAAATCGAGCCGTGACAGGCCATACGCAAGAAGTGCATTCTCCGTTCGGCAGGAGGCCCTCAAAGACAACGAGCTGCCCAGGCCAACAAAGTCCAGGACCAACGACAGGCTCCCAGGCTGAGACAAACCGTATGCCGGCGATGCCAATCCCGACTGAGCGAGGCTATGGGGTGACATCGTCAGGCCTGTGTGCACAAGGTCCAGCGCAAGAGACAAGGAACCCAGCCGGGACAATCCATACACAAGGAGTGCACTTTCAGTTCATACGTGGCTGCGTGAAAATGCTGCCAAGCCAGCAGTACAGAAGTCAAGCAAGAAGGGAGATGGCCCAGTGCGCGACATGCCGTACGGCAGGGTTGTGGGCTCTGGGCACGCAAGGCTCCTGGGAGACGGTATGGACCCCGGCAGGACAGAATCCAAGGTCAACATGAGGAAGCCGGCGCAAGCGAGCCCGTAAACAGACGTGCTCGATCCGGTGCGCACGGGACCCCGCAACAACGGCGCACTGCCGGAAGTCACGTGATCCGATGCCGAAAGTGGAGAGCCCAAGCGGGTGACGCCGTAAGTAAGCAAAAAGGGTTCGGGTCTCATGAGACCATGCAGAAAGGACGAGCTACCGATGGTTACAGAATCGGGGGCTGACGAAAGCGACGCCAGTCTCGCTGTCCCATACACCAGAAGGGTGAACTCTGGCCAGGCGAAGCTTCGCAACAGCACCGGAGAACCCATGTGCACAAAGTCCGAAACGGACGACAAGCTTTCCGGGCAAGTGAAGCCATAAGTGAATACGAAGGAGCCCATACATGTGCAACTTTGCGGCAAAGCTGGGGAGCCAGCTGTGATATGATCGAGTGCTGGCATAGGAAGGCCGGGCCTGACGATGCCAAACGTCAACACAAAAGAACCCGAGCAAGCAAGGCTGTGCAGCGGCAGCACACTGCCAAGGTGGATGAAGTCCAGGACTGAACAGCTTAGACCAGGCCGGAAACTTCCATACACTGGCATCGGACTACCGAGTCTTGCGAATGCTTTCAGCAACATGGTGGAGCCTGACACCACATAGTCCAAGACAAACGGCGACGAGTCCATCTTGCTGAATCCATACAGAAGGGTCGACAGGCCAGGTCTGGCAAAGCTTCGCGAAAAGAGTGGAAGCCCGATCTGAACAAAGTCCAAGGTAGAGATCGACAAGTCCGAACGCGCCAGTCCATATGCTGATGACGGGCTTTCTGGATGTGCAAAGCTTCGCAGTGGCATCAGAGATGCAAAGCGGCAACTGTCAAAGGCCGTGAGGATTGGGCCAAAGCAAACAAGAGAACGTGCGAGCAGAAGGGAATCCAGCGAGACATAGTCCAGCACTGATGGTGGGGCGTCGAGGCAAGCCAACCCGTATGCCGACGTCGAGGAACCTGAACAGCCGGAAGTTCGAGGCAGCATTAACAAGCCCAGGTGCAAAAGGTCCAGTGTAAGCAGCGAAAGATCTAGCCAAGTCATGCCGTAAGTCGATGGAGCCGGGCCAAGGCATGCGAAGCTGCTTGTTGGCATGGAGCTGTCGAAGTGAACGAAATTCAGTACGGGCATAGCGCTTCCAAGGCGCACAAGCCCGTAGACAGGCATGGCTAAGTCGTATCATGACAGGCCTTGCGAGGACATAGCAGATCCCAATGTCACAAAGTCCAGGGCTGATGGTGCGAACTCAGGTCGCGCCATGCCATAAGGAGGTGGCAAGAAGTCCACCCTCGAGGAGCTGCGCAAGGACAGCGATGGTCCCAAGTGCAAGTAGTCCGAGGCCGAAAGAGAGAGAGCGGGTCAGGCCATTCCATAAGCAAATAGCAGAGATCCCAAGCATGAAAGACTTTGGGGTAACAGTACGGAGCCGGGAGTCACATGATCGGGTGCAAGCAGCAGCAACTCTGGACGTGCCATCGAATATGTCAACGGCGCAGATCCCAGCCGAGCAGAACTGCGGGGCAGCATCGTCAAGTCTGCATGAATGAAATCCGAGGCAAGCAACAGTAGGTCAAGACACGTCGCCCCGTACATGGGCAGTGGCAGTCCAGGATGCGCATGGGTGTGCAACAGCAGGAAGGATGCCGTATGTAGAAAATCCAAAGTTGGCATCAAAGGTTCCGAGCGGAGCATACCATAGGCCAGCAGCAAAGAGTCCAAACATCCGAGGCTTCGAAGCAAGGCCGGTGAAGCCATGTGCACATAGTCTAGCGCTGGCATCATGAGTCCCGGGCGGCTCAGCCCAAAGACAGAGGTAGAGAGCCCCGTGCAGCCCGAGCCATGCAAAGGTAGCAAGCTCCCAAAAGTTACGTGGTCTAGCATGGGTGGAAAGGATCCCAGGCACACCGTCCCGTAAGTCGAAAGAGCCGAGCCGGGGCGCGCAGGCTGCCTCAGTGACGGCACACTTCCCAAGGACACGAGATCCAGAGCAAGCAGGAACAACTCAAGCCTTGCAACACCGGACACAAGCAGCATGAACCCGGGCTGCACGAAAGTTCTCGGAAGCATTGACGATTCCGGACTCACAAAGTCCAGGATCGGCAAGAGCAGATCGGGCTGGCCCAGTCCATACACAAGCATGAAGAAGCCAAATCGAACAGGCCCTCGTGAAGACAAGGACAGGCCGGACTGAATGTGATCCAAAGCTGGCAGAAAAAAGCCTGGTTGCGTCGTGCCGTAGATCAGCATGGCAGAGTCGAGGCGCACATGTGATTGCAGGGAAACAGCTGAGCCGGGGGTCACGTGGTCTGGCACAGACAGGCTAAAGCCAAGCCGGATGTTCGCGTAGGCCAGCATCGAGCTTCCCGGTCACACAAGACTTTGGGGAAGAAGCAACAATCCTGTGTTCACAGAGTCCGGCACAGGCATGAAGAGTCCTAGCCTTGTCATTCCGGATGCAGGCAAAGACAATTCGAGCTTCACGAAGCTGTGGATAGGTACTGTGCTGCCAGAGCTCATCCAATCCAGCACGGGTAGCATAAGTCCCGGGCGCATTGCTCCATAAAGCGACAGGGACAGACCAGGGTGTCCACATGATCTAGGTGAGGCGGACGGTTCCAGGGTAATAAGGTCCAAGGCCGGCAGGATCAGCCCTGGTCGAGCAATTCCATACACAAGTGGAGCGCTGCCGCAGCGGACGAGGCTTTTCGGCAATGGGGCAGGACCGGGATGCAAGAAATCTAGCACCAGCAAAAACGATCCAAGCCGGCACATGCCAAAGACCAACGAAGACAGATCAGCACGCAGGAAGCCATGTAGCGGAAGCATGGGGCCCATGTTGCCGTGGTCTGATGGCGACAGCGGCGATCCTGGCCACGACACACCATACGCGGGCATTGCACTGCCGAGCTGAACATGCCCTTGAAGCAACAAAGAGGAGCCCATTTGTGTAAGATCTAGGGCTGAAGGCGGCGAACCCAACCAGGCGCAGCCATACACAGGCAACGTACTACCAGCCCGTGTGAAGCCTCTGGGTGGGAGGGCCGAGCCAAGCGTCACGAACTGTAGTGCTGGCGGTGATGGCCCCAGCCGGGCAACGCCATAGGCGGGCAGAGCACTGTCCGGCCAAGCATGGCTCTGCGTCGATGATGTGGAACCTGGTATGACCATATCTGAGACAAGCGGCAATGGCCCAGGCCTGGCCATTCCGTACAAGGACGGGGTGGGGTCCGAGCAAGCCAAACTGTGCAGCAACAAGAAGGAGGCCAGGCTAACAAAGTCCAAAGCTGGCGTCAGCGATCCAAGCCGAGCCAACCCATAGGTCAATGAGGATGACTCAAGGCAGGAAAGTCCATGGAGCGGGAGAGTGAAGCCTGTCTGGATGGAGTCTGGGGCTGGGAGGGTCGAGTCCGGTTTGGATATGCCGGAAAGCGGTGCACTTGGGCCGAGATGACAAAGTCCTCGAGGAGACAAAGTAAGCCCCAAGTGAATGTAGTCCAACACCAGGAATGGCGGCTCCAATCGTGACATTCCGAAGACAAAGGGTGTGGGGCCTGAGCACAGAAATCCACGTGGAGGCATCGTCAAGTCTGAGTGCACGAAGTCCAGAACGAGCGGTGAGGAATCTAACCAGGCCATTCCGTAGGCTAACGTCGTCGGGCCAACCCTGAGAGATGTTCGCAAGAACATGAACAAGCCCAACTGCAGAATGTCAGGAACCGGAGGCAAGGGCTCTGGGCATGTCAACCCGTACACGAACGAAGAAAGCCCGGGTCGAACAAAGCTCTTCGGAGGCAATGTGAGGTCCGCATTAATGCGGTCCGGCACTGGCAACATCGACCCCAGTCGGCAGACGCCATATACGAAAAGCAGGAGGCCAGGCTAGGCGGGCCCTCTCAAAGACAAAGAACTACCTGCAAAGCAGCTGTCAGGGATCAGCGGCAGACTTCCGTAGCGTGTCATGCCAAATACTGGGGTGGTCGAGCCAGGGCACACACGATTTTGAACCAACGAAGCAGATGCCATACTGATGAGGTCCAGGACAAGCAGCGACAGGCCCGAGCAGGTCATACCGAATGCAAGCGATGTCAAGCCAGTTCGCAGGAGGCTTCTCGATAACGGCGGCAACCCCGTCATGGCAAAATCAATCAACAGTGGCGAGGCCTCGAAGCACGTTGCGCCAGAGACGGGGGAGGTGGATTCCGTTTAGAACAGACTGTGCGTAGGCATAAGTGGGCCTGGATGCAGCAAGTCCAAGAGAAGTAGGGAACTCCCGGAGCGAGCTCGCCCAACAGGCAGCATCATGAAACCTGCTCTGGTAGGGCCTCGAGCGAACATCAACGGTGCCGTGAGTGCGTAGTCTGATGCAGGCGATGGGAAGCCATATCAAGACATGCCGCATGCAAGCAGCATCGAGTCCACCCGACAGTGGCTGCGAGTAGAAGATAGCAGCTCTAGGTGAAAGAAGTCTGGCACTGAAGGAAAGAGACCTAGACAGGCCATGCCATACACTGGCATTGGTAGGCCGAAACACGACCATGCATGCAATAACAGCGTGAGTCCAGGATGCAAGTGGTCTGATGCTGATAGGGATGGGTCCAGCCAGCACATACCATAAGCTGGCAGCGGGAAATCTGAACAAGCGAGGCCCTGCAAGAACAGCAAGGCTCCCACTTGGATGGGGTCTGGCGGTAGCATGACGGACCCGAGTCGCAACAGGCCGAATACAAGCATAAGTGGCTCAAATCAAGACGGTGTCTGCACTAGAGTGACGGAACCAACATGCACGCGATCTGGAGCAAGCGTGGCAAAACCCAGGCAGCTCAAGCCGAAAGGAGACAAAGACGAACCTATGCATGCGAGGCTCCGCAGAAGCAGCAAACTACCCAGCGCACAAGGGTCAAGAACAGACATGGCCAGGCCAAAGCGAACGAGACCGTAGGCCAATGATGAGCTTCCGAGCCGTGTAAAGCTCTGCACGGCGATCGCGCTACCAGATTCGGCTTTGTCGCGCACTGGGAGGCAGCTGCCCGTTCTCACCTCAGAAGAGACTGACAATGAGAAGCCTGGTTGCTGGAGGCCTTTCGACAATATGGCCAAGTCCATGTGAACAAAGTCCAAGGCGGGCAAGAAGAAGTCCAAAGTCACCATTCCGTAGGCAGACAAGGCCAAACCGAGTCGGACCAAGTTCTGTGAAGGCACTGGTGGCCCGAAGGTAGCAAAATCGAGAACTGACAACAAAGAACCTAGGCAGACTACACCGTAAGGGGACACGGCCAAGTCTGCTCACGAAAGGCCTCGCGAGGGCATGGAGCTGCCAGGTGTCACGAAATCCGAAGCAGGCAAGGACAAGCTTGGCCAAGCCATTCCATAGACCAGAGGCAAGGGACCGGAGCATGCAAAGGATCGAATTGGCAGAATTAGGCCTAGATGGACAAAGTCTGAGGTCAGCATGGAAGAGCCAGGCCATGCCATGCCGTAGATCGGAGGTGCACTGCCCACCCTGGAAAAGCTGCACAAAGAGAAGGAAGGTCCCAGCTGCACAAGGTCCGGTGCGGGAAGTGGGAGGCCAAGGCTGGCCATTCCATATGCTGGCGTGAAGAAGCCGGGGCATCCGAAGCTCCGCAAAAACGGAGCCGAACCTAAGTGCACAAAGTCCAGTGCAAGCAGCAGGAAACCCAAGCGCTGCATGCCGTAGACAGATGTCAACAAGCCGAAGCATGAGAAGCCTCGCAGTGATGGTGACACACCCGTGTGCACGAGATCTAGTGCGAGCAAGAATACACCAGAGCGCTGGACACCACACACAGGAAACGGAAATTCTGCACGGCACGTGCTATGAGGCAACAGGAAGGGAGCCATCTGCACATGGTCCAGCACTGACAGCAACGAGCCCAATCAAGTCATTCCATAGACGGGCAGTGCACTGCCCGAACGAGCAAACCCTCGAATGGACAAGAGTGCTTCCACCATTGCATAGTCCAGAACTAGTGGAGGCGCGCCTGGCCAGGTGACACCATAGGTCAGCAGAGGACTTCCCATTCACGCAAAACTGCACGTTAGGGAAGAGCTGCCAAAATGGCCAGGGTCCAGCACAGGCGGTGAGCTACCGAGCCGTGCAAAGTCGTAGGCGAATGTGATGAAGCCGTGGCGTGCAAAGTTTGCAACAGAGAGCGAGCTTGCTAAGGTTGCAAAGTCCTTAGCGGACATGGAGAAACCGAAGCGCACGATTCCAAAAACAGGTGAAGTGCTACCTGGTCGAGAAAAGCTCGCAACCAAGGGGGAGCTGCCCGAATAGGTCTTGCCCTCTACGGAGGTTGCCTCACCAAAACGGACAAAGTCTTTGACTGGCATGCCCTTTCCGAAGTCCACGTGATCTGCCACGGAGAGGGTGCTGCCGAAGCAGACCCTTGAGTAGACGGAGAGTATGCTACCAAGGACAGTTGCATCGAACACTGACAGGCTGCTGCCAACCCGTACATCGGACAAGACAGAGAGCGTGCTGCCAAGCACTGCTGTGTCGAAGACCGACAGGGTTGATCCGATTTGCACCTGGTCAATGACGCTAAGCGACATGTTGAAGAAGGCCTCCTGCTCCTCGCGAGTCAGTTGCTTCCATCGACGCACTCAGAACTGTGCAGCAACTGCAAACCATACGTGCGAGCGAGCAGAGCGGGCAGAGGTGAAGGAGGAGGCATGTAACCGAAAGTGACTTGCCTGGGTGATGACCATGTATGGCGTCTGCCCACCAAACCTTTCAGAGAAGATCACCTGGGCACATGGTTGACCTGTTCCATGTATCCGGTAAAGAGCATCTTCATGGCACAAGACATGTACTAGTAGTCTCGAACGGAATGCGAGATCAAGCCTCAATGGTGAAGGGAGCCTGAGTCCAGAACTATGTCCATGGGCCTCTGAACGGTCTCCACCCCGATGCTCCATTGCCTTCCCAAACCAAGCACAGCTGCTTGACAAAATGACAGGAGCAGCAAGCCCATTGCCTCGCCCCCTTTGATCTGAATGTGAGCTTCGCGTCTTGGTTGAAGGAGGGATCTGGCAAAAGGGTGGCGAGCAGCGCAAGTCCAAGCTCGGGCAAAGCCGCGTGGCCAAGATGACGGTCATGGCCATAAGCTTGCCAGCTGCACCGATGTCAACAGGACCGAGGAGTGTAACCTCGCCCTCCCGAGACACCAGCACCCTGAGAGTGCGGGAAGGCTTGCAGCCTTGGGTTTTGTTTGAAGCAGCGATAGCCCTCACAAGCTTAGCATTGATCAGAACCTTAATGTGATTGCGACTCCTAGTTTGGAGCCCTAGTTTCTTTTCAGCACTCGCTCAGTATGCATGAAGAATCAACCCAAGAGGTGCCTAGGAAGGCTTATAGAAGCCCGAAATGATGCTGCCATCGCGAATTGTAAAGGACAATTCCCACAAGCTCCGAACAGCTGCTTTGGTCACTAGCGAATTGGGCTTAAGCCTTGCCCTTGCATGGTTCGGTTACCTCGCGGTTTGCTGGAGCTGTGAAACTACGGGGTTGAAAAGTTCGCAAAGACATACAGTAAGCTGGAAGAGAGAGAGAGAGAGAGAGGGAGAGAGGGAGAGAGAGAGAGAGAGAGAGGGAGGGAGAGAGGGAGAGAGCGAGAGAGATGGAAGGACAGCGGCCAGCTCCGGTTGCCGAGACCACATGTTTGCTACATTCGAAGTACAGTATTTCACGATTATATTTATAATGCAAATTGTCTGGAAGAAGTCACAATAGCTATGACGATCAAGAGAACGCAGAAGACACGATAATGAGCTCTGCTATCGCTGCCTGCATGACTTAGTCCTTTTTTCTCAGCGACGACCAGATCAGGTGCTACTATTCATCATGCTTCCCTCTGAAGAATATCACTAGTGGTTGGCTTGCTTGATTACCGAACCCAGACCTTCCCTCAAGCATCCACAATGCTCGAGCCTCCGAATACTGCTCTTAATGAAAACCAGAGTCGTCGACTGTTACTGTTGTACTGTAAGGAGTGCAGCAGGAGCAAGAGCCGTACTACGGTGCCAACCTTGGCCAATGTCGCTTGATAGACTGGCGATTTCGAGCCCACCAACAATAATTGCTGATAGCAGCCCTGCAGAACCTGCCACCCCGAGAGGGCGCACCACGCATGGACGTTCTGAATGAAGCAGAAGACCAGAAAAAACAGTGTCGGCAATTTCCTCCCAGGCACGAGCACGCATGGTCTCCTTACCCTTGAGACCGCGGATGCCTTGTTTTATCATGTGAATCCTCGCTTTTCTGGGGGAGTCCTGGCCTGCACCATTGGGATGGGCACATCTGCGCCCATGCCCGCATCTGTGGCACCTGCATCTTCGGCAATCACGAACGCTGAGATCGGAAGTCAGCTGAACCGAAAAGGCAGCCTGCGCCCGCGGCGTCCAAAGTCTGCTGCCTGATTTGGTGCAGGACCTGAGAAACCCGAGCGTCATGGAAGAGGCCAAACTCAAGCTCGGAAGGCAACCTTTTTGGCGTGCACCACACTCCGAGGCACGTGCTCATGCAGCGAATGCGAATGAGTCTTTCATGGTGGGCGTTTCAATGCCCAGCTCGAGCCCAAAGTTTCAGGCCGGCACCGGAACAACTTCTCTTGCACGTTTGGCTCAACAAGAATGGACACCAACCTGCATCACCCCACGTCATGTCAGCGTCTCGACACTCGAAACATGTTGCACAGAGGGATCACTTTCTCTTGCACAACCCGCCGAAAGTCATGCACTCCCACCAAGCCCGCCAGCGATCCGGCAATTGCCACAGATTTGTGTTCTTGAGTCATCTCAACTGATGCAGGCTGGCACGCCTGCAAGGCTGAATTTCCATCATTGACACAGATTGATAGATATAGAGTCGGGTAACGTTGCGGACTCAGTCGAAGCTTTACAGAGCAGTCTTGCGGTACTGCACCTAACAACTTGATGTCACCCACACAGACACACATACAAACACAAAAGAAATCCGCGACTGCGTTGCACTAATCCACGTGGGGCATTTTTCCATGAGTGGCCAGAGCAAGTCGGAGCACTCTGCTTGGGATCCTTGCTTGGATGCCCGAGCCTAGGAAAACCGCCGTCGATTTGTCGTTTACAGGCAGTCAGCAGCCCTCAGCACACTTAGAAGCCGTGACAGCATGAAAGATCTTCTCCCTGCGTATTCGCATCTACCTACCACACAGTGGCGTCTAAGTCGCGCATGGCTGCACTGTCGTTAACATGCAGCCCTCGCCCGGCAGGAAAGCAGCTAAGCGAGCTATGAGGAACACAGTGCAAACGTCTCAGCATTAGTAACATGCATAGGCGGCAACTGCTGCAGGGGTGTAGGGCACCAGGATTAACCGTTCACCTACGCCCTCTCACCGGTGGCCAGCCGCACTCGCGTGCGGAGGGTGTTGTCCCTAAGCAGGGCAATTGTAACACTGCCCGAGAATACTACCAAGCAAATGATCTGCCTGAAACAGTTTCATGATGCAAGCAAGGCACCTGGACCAATTCCAAGACTTGTCAGGGTCATCCTTCCAGATGCTCACATCCAGAATGTTTTCTTGTGCAACCATGACGAGGCATCCGATGACGAGCAGAAACAAAGCTCTCCTTCCGCAACCAATGGATACAGTGACATCCCCGCGTTTCGTCCAACCGGAAAGGCCTCCACTCGATGTTTCAAAGGACTTAAACGATGACCTTTGGAATCCGCCAAGCTTTGCATCGGTGCCCCACCCAATCTGCAGGGTGTCGTCGGGAGCAACCTCGCAGCAGGTTGAATCACAAGCTGTGCAAAATGCACAGCCTAAGAACTCCTCCCACGCTCCCTCCCTGTGGCAAGCGTGGCATCGGCGCACCCGCACTCGGTCTCGGATTCGCGAACCATCTGCGTGTAGTCCCTTGACTTCCCCGTCTGGGGTGACGTGCCTCGACAGACGTAGGGCCCGGGGCTCTGTGTCGGGGCCTGAATTCGGGCCTCTAGAGTCTCTAGAGCCTAGGGCCTAGATGCTTGAATAACGCCACAGCTTACGCCATCCGCACTTCTGGGCTCTGGGCCAGATGATGCCATTGGCTGTTTGAAAAAAGCCTCGGGCCTGACAAGACTTTGGGCAAATTGACTAACAACACGACTCAGCGTCAGGTTCTCAAAGACTTGGCTGCCGAACTTTCTGAATGCGTGTCTGGAACTTCTTGGTCAGCACCTTTGCGCAGAGGAATGCCCTGCATGCTCCATGCCGAGACCCGAAAGACCAAACTGACAGGACTTGTCACAAGGGGGCCCCGGGCCCAGGCATCTGCTTCATCCAAGAGCTTCGAGAATTTCTCAGCTCCAAGGCGTCGATAAAGCAGATCCTGTGCGCTGACATGGCCATGCCGGAGACAAGCATTGAAATCTTGCACTTTCAGTTACCGTATCAGCTTTTCCTCATCACAACACTTAGCTGTGAGGATTTCCCCCTTGGTGGACGAGCTTCGCTCGCCGAATAGCAGAGTGACCATTTGGCCACCGCCGTGAGGATTCTTGCAATCCCAGGAACTCGTGCTTTGCACGAGTTGAGATCATCTGCCCACTTGTTAACCATGTGCTTGGGGTATTGATCATGCATCTGCCGTGTTCAACAAGAAAGTATCTATGGTCAAGCCCCTCAGGCTGCATTCTCGTGACCGTTGGGCTGACTCATGGTTCATGTCAAGGCAGATTGCTGTCCTGGCGCCTGAAACCGTTGAAGACTCGAGTTGGAATCGGTCAGAACTGTCACTGCCCTCTTGGAAGTCTATGTATTGGATTCTAGATCCCCACTCCGCATCAAGAGCCGAGGCCATGCCAAGCACAAGCTGCTGCTTCCGGCGTGCCACGAAAATGCCCTGGCCCCAGCGTATGCTGGGGCACGCGCCCGGATATTAGCCAAGCCCTGTACACACAGCATCTTGCATGCCGGGCTCTGCAAAGGGAAGCCCACCACGAATAGAGTTGTACCGACTACAAACGGCTTGTCTTCTAACGGAGAAGTAGGCTTGAGTCGGATTAGGCCGAAGCTTCCCAAACACGTAGCTGCAGGCATGGAAAACGCCTGCATCTAGCACCACCAAACAACATGTACACGTAGCGCACAGGTAAAGAGTAAAGAGGGCTTATATCCCTGAGCATAAAACACTCTGAAGATCCGATCTGCCGCGACAAGTCGAGGCCTATGGCCTGGCAGCCAGGGCCAGGACCAGGTCCCACTTTGCTGTTACTTCAATCCATCCCACGGGCCTGCGCCCATGGTCCCCATGGTGCGCACAAGGTGCAAACCTCTCAGCAAGGGCACTGCACATCCCCGAGAACGTCACCTTCCGGCATGGAAAGGTCCCCGCTCTCCAAAAGATTGGCTGAGTGGAGGCATCGGCCTCAGAGTACTCCCTCGTGCTCTTGCTCCTTTCTCTTTTAGGTGAGGAAGGAGAGTCCCTTGATCGATGCAAGCCCCCATGTCGTGTGCCAGAGGCGTATGTGTCCCGTAACGCCGTAACAGTCTAGCTTCGCGATGTTTCATTCGCATTCCGTCCGCTGTCCCGCTGTGGTTTTCGCTGCTGATTGCTTCTTCCGATGCTACTGGATTCATGTAGGCTTTGCGGACGGCAAAGACAATCCCAGGATTCACTCGTGAGAGTTCTTCATCGACAAGTTCACCGATGCTACATGTAGAACTTGGACTTCTTCACTGTCTTATTTCTGCATTGCTGCTGTCGGGATGCTTCCTTCGTGCACTCTTGAGTTATGCGAAGGGCGTCGATTCCGAGCATGTTTGACGATCTGTTTCAGAGTATGCTCGACTGATGGATACGGATACGCTGAGGGACTTCCTGGAATGGAAGGATACCTGCCAATCGGAAGTCAGGAGAGTCAGGGCCCAGGGCTCTTTTCTTCGTCTACGAGGCGGGCGGGCGGGAGGGGCGGTTTCTGCTTCGCTCTCCTCTTGCACGTCCTGACTGCCTGCATCAAGGCTTCAGCTAGATTGGTTCGCGTTATTGTTCCAAGGTCTGGGCGCCACAACATTGTGCAAGCGCTGCCGCGATTCGCCTTGCCATAAGATGGTCGTTTCAGTGCACACCACATGGCAAGCATATGCAAGCATCAAGCCGCTGAAGCCCCAAGCCAGCCAGGGATGCCGGCTGACAAGGGCAGGAAGTCTATGACTCCTTCTCTTTACGAGCGGCCTGCTGATCGGATGGAGGTGAAGGTGTCACAGCAAAGCTCACTGCCAAATGCAAGCCAATCTTGAGGCTTCCTACAGAAGAACTCGACACCCCGTGACCTCGTGGCATTTGACGGGGAAAACCCGGACCCTCGCCTGTCCACGAAATACGCTCTGGATTTTGGTTGCCTCGGAATACAAGAGCCACTTTCCAAACCACTTCCTTAATGCTTAGCATTCCGGCAGAGTGGGCAGCTGGGCGTTTCGCTGCCTTGGTCTCCTCATCCACCATCTTCTTCACAGCCTGTCCACGTCTGTCTCGGGTTCAACATCGAATCTAATTCCAGAAGCTTTTTTCCTATAAAATCCTCCATAACCTCCAGGGAACCCTTGCCTCACGCTCTTTCCGCCCTCGGTGAAGACTCTGGATGCGAAGAGCCGCTGCTTCCTCCTCCTTCCGTTGCGCTTCCTCGGGCGAGATCGAGGGATTAGCGACGTGTGTGCCCGTGACCGAGCGGCCCGAGCTGTCGGAGTCCTCAGGGCTCAGGGGCGCTGCCACGACCACGGGTTCTGGCTCCGGCTTCGCAGGCCTTGGGATTTAAGCGACAACAAACGGGATCTTCTGCAGTGAGGCTCGAACAACATTTGATCCGTGCAAAACTCCGTGCAGACAGGAGGCGCAGTTGGCTTTACTGGCTCGGAAGGTTTGGGCTGAAGGCCCTGACCATGTGGCATGGAATGCGAGTAGGAAGCAGACTGCTCCTGAACCCGCCCTGCCGACGCAGTCCTTCTTGAAGAGCTCCCTCCTGGCTGACTGGGCCTCACGTGTGACCTTAAGGGAAATGGCTCCAAGCAGAACGAAAGGCTCTGTGATGGGCTTGATGCTGGGACGACGCCGGCGGCGGAACCGGCAGCTGGAAAGATGTACAAATCTAGAAATAACCGCAAGCAGTCCCCGATTGTATTCAAACGCATGGCATATGGAGGGCTGTTAGAGATACTCAGTCCGCAAGAACTTACATGCTGTGTAAGGCAATGTGTGGACTACTAGAGACTACTCCCTTTTGCACGTCTTTGCCTCTCCAGTGCAACCATGCATCTCAGACTTCCCATCAACAGTCCGCGGCCCTAGGTATATTGAACACTACGGCGACGGCCGACTACGCAATCTTCCGGTCATCCCTCTACGACCAGCCCAGACCTGCGAGAGCCGCGGCGTGGCCGCCCTCTCGTAGCGCACACAGGGGCTCTCCAATGCCTGGCGCCAGAACTGCTACTCGTCGTATTGATTCTGGGGAACGAGGATTCTTGCACGCGATCGGAGCAGAACTGCGATACTCCCCTCCAGCACCTGCTCGAGTCGTCGCACTTTTGCCCACTCATCCTGCAAGCGAACCAAAGCGGCAGCGCTTGGTAAAGACACGTCGGCATGAAAGAAGTCAAGGGTGTCCTGCGTTGCGAGAGCGGTCTGTAGCTGCCTCTGCGCCCTCGCGCGTCCCACAGAGAAAGGCCTCCCGTGGCATCGCTTGCCGCTCACCCACCGGACCGAAAAGACCCACAAGCCTCCCAGACCAGCAAATGGAAGAGCCTCTAAGCTTCCTCAACGCATCCCTGAACCCTGAGCCGTCGGGAGCCCTTTTGGAAGCCAAAGTCACCTCACGGAGGCGAGAGCATCGGGAGGCGTCTCGCGTCTCGGCGTGAACTTCTGCGTTGAGGTCACTTCCTCGAGGCACGGCTAACTCATTGTGCCCGCCATACATACATGGGTATATGGATGTGTATGTGTGCATGTACGTATTTAGGGGGCTGGGATTTTCATGGATCTATGTTCAGCATAGGTGTTGGGATTGTCATGAAGATGCAGGAGCAAAATCGGGAATAGAGACACGCTTTTTGACACAGGTCCGAGAACATCGGGCATCCTAAACCCTAAACCCTTTCCTTTGCCTTCAGCAGGAGTAAATATCATCCAGCGACACGGGAAAGAAGAGAGATATCGCTCTGGATTTGAACACGCCATGTAGATGCACATACGTTCGTAGTCCCCTCCCCCCCTACCGTTGCCGAACCCTAAACCCTACACCCCAAAACCCTAATCCCCAAAGGTGAAAATCATCCAGTGACACAGGAACGAAGAAAGATATCACTATGCATTTCAACAGGCCATGTAAATGCACATACGTGCGTAGTCCCCTCCCCCCTACCGTTCCCGACCTTTTGCCCTAGGTGTGCCTGCAAATTGCAGGGGGGGTAGTCCCTAAACCCTTGTCAACTCGAAGCCTTATACCTTGTAACCGTAAACCCAAAAACTCAAAAGCTTGAGCTAAACCCTAAACCCCAACACCCCACAACCACCCCACACGGGGGGAAGAGGGACCCCAACACCCCACACCGCAGGGGAGGGCCCCGCCCTATATCCGGACCATTGATCTTTGGGGGGGAGGGGGGCGGGGCCGCGGAGCGCGTGACCTTTTATGCAGCTCATGTCTTTTCGTGTTTTGTCTTATCTTAGCCGTCCTAGCTTATGGAAGGCGAGCATGTTGCTGGTACATCATAACTGTGTATATCCCCAGGTCTCACGCGCGAAATGGACACAACAAATATGTATATTGATATGCATCTTATGCAAACTAGGCAAACATATCAATACTAACATTACAGACGTAGGTAGATTTGTACAAGCATCTGGTTAGTGATATTTTCTTTATAAGGCTTTAAGACGCAGCGGGTATTTTCCACACTGTCTGGAATTGTATATACTTCTGCGAACTTCTCTGTATAGAGATCAAAGGGTCAGCATTGCTCTGTCTAACTGGCGACGCTGTATCCATTTGTATCGCAAATGCACAAGTTCATGCTTGTGTACATGTAGTGAACTATCCAGTATTATTGCAGTCTTGATGTTGTCGTTGCTGCGGCTGTTGCTACATGATTGAGAAATACCTATGAAATTAAATGTATGTTAGGTGCAGAAACCCTGCCTTTCCCGTAGCCAGAAAGATATTGCCGTGCTGAAACACACAGCTGCCCACTAAGATCCCACTAAAGGCTTGTGCACCCACGGTGTAGCTCGTGGCCTGGGGTTGCAAGGTAGAAGTTGCACTAGGGCTTGTCGGCTTCTCTCGTATGTGACCACGTATTACGCATTTCCTACATAATACTGGTAAATACAAACATATATATATATATATATATATATATAAATTTATACTTTATTTATATATTATTCCAGTGGTATTGATTTCTAAAACCTTACACCTTGCATAAGCATCCGATATTTGAGGAACCTCGCCTTTGTTTTGGGAGTTAAGGAATTGGTGCTTGGGGGCTTGGAGGTTTGCAGCTTAGATATGAACCAGGCAATGAACGTTTATAACCTTAAACCGTAGTCGGGTTAGGGCTCAGTGTGTGGGTTCACTGAGAGCGTAATTTAGGGCTCAGAGTGTGTGTTAATTCAGAGCGTAGGGTTTAGCGTGACTGACCAATCCGTGAGCCCTATTGAGTTCAATAGGCCTATTGAATTCAATAGGGCTGTCGGATTCAAGATTGAAGTTTCAAGATGCCCTGGGAAAGTTTGCTGTGACATCTTGAATCTCGGATCTTGAGTCCGACAGCCCTATTGAATTCAATGGACCTCACGCGTGGATTGAAATTCAAAACTCTGGATGCATCGGGACTGCTCCGATTGCCCTTAACACGCGCAGGCATGTACTTCAGCATGCGTTGTATTGTCTTAGCTCCGCGCACGTACTAGGATTCAGAGTATACATATACAACAATACAGAGTAGTCCTTCAAACTGGCAGACGAGTGAGGGGAAGGGGGTCAGGAGAAGGATACACAGGATTTACACCAACACTGGTGGATAACTCGGGGGCGGGGGGCACCATACATATATACATGTGCGCCCGTGTGCGTGGGTGGGTGGGTATTAGGTAGGTGGGTGGGTGCCCGCGTGTATGTAAGTATACGTGTGTATGTATATATGTATACATGTCCGGCAGGGCGTGGAGACTTTACGATATTACTATTACCATGTTTACGATTACTGTCATTATTTTTCACTGTTGCCATTATACTGTTGCTACTCTTTGTCTTACAGCACTCGAACCATCGACAGCTAGAACGACTCATAAAAGTCTGCCGAAATTACTTCATTGATTGTCTCGCTACCTTGGGACCTTCACCCGCTGAGGACATGGCCCAGGGAGCCTTCAGGTCTCCCAGAGCTTGGACCATAGCGGAGAGCCCCACCTGGTGGCGAGGAGCCACAGTGCAAAGTGTCTAGAGAGACACGCTCTGATCACTTTGTGCCAGTATCCCTTCATAGACCCATTTTGTACGAAAGTGTGCGTAGGCGTAAGGAGTTCAGACACGTTCAGCACAGACTAGGTGCCGTTGCAGGGACAGAAGCTACCTTCAGAACAAACTGCTGGGCCGCGCCCTGATCGCCTTGAAGTGCGGGTCACTACAAATGCCATGATGCAAGGACTCTGGCACTACTGCACCCCACTGCGCGGCCTGTGGGGTCACGATGTGCCGTGCACTGCGAGAGAAGGCCCCAACGGGTGGCTGGTAGCTGCCTCCCTGGGTCACAGGACAGAATTCGCAACTGCAAACTGTCCACAATTAAGCTCCTGGTACGAGTACATGCCAATGCCGTGCGGTGTTCGAGTCAAGGCGGTAAACCAGGGATCTGGCTGTGCTTGGCCGTGTCGGACGGCTGCTTAAGCTGCGCCTCAGAATGCAAAGAGTGCCAGATTCGTCGAAACTCGAAATTCGTCACATCCCTCCACTCCCCACTCCCTGCGGGCGCAGCTGCGGGGTCGTCACCCCAAGGCCATGCGGCGAAGTCAATGCCAGTGGTGGCACAGGTGGCATCGCGCTAAGCCTCCAAGCTGGAACAGCGGATGTGCGGGTCATTTGCGCCTGAGGCTGAAGGTGTCGAGCATGCCCGCATCATCCCGCATCAGGAGCCCTAGGCGGCATGTTCTTGCATGCAGGGCGCCTGAAGCAGACAGCTGCCGAGAAAGGCTTTAGAGGATGCTTACAGGCAGAAATGCGCTGGAGTCCTGCTCCTGCCGTTCACAATGCATTGAGACTTGGAATGTGTTTTGCAATCTGCATTTAAGTTAAATGCCAATCGTGGGCAAGTTGTCTCCGGCTGTGTCGAGGTTTATTGCTCTTATCCGAAAGACTTGGCGTGGTCTTCCCACCTAGATCACAGCGCGTGTGGAAAATGCTGCGGCGATGCCACCCGTGCTTGCATTTCAATCTGTCGGAACCAGCTGCTCGACCACGATTGGCAGCATTCCACCCTCGCCCCTAGACTTCTACAGCTCCTGCGGTCTCAAATCGGATAACTGAATAATCCGACATCACGGCTCAAGAACCTGGCAATGACAGCAGTTCGCCTCTGCCAAGAACCGGGCCCGTGCAACATCAATCTCGCGCACCTTGCTCCAAAAGCCAAGGTTCGGCTTTGGCTTGACAGCTTGACCGGGAGAGCCTGTACTTTTCGAGGCATTCAAGGCAGCCTGACTGAACCCGCTGCGGCCTGAAGCATGTCCTCCGCCGTGACTTCTTTGGTCGCATGGCGTATCCTGCAAGGATTGCGGGCTTGACTCTGGACACGCAGTCCTGCGCCCATGCCGTGGTTTGACATGAAGCTTGCTGTTCAACCACGACCACCGCAGGTTCTACAGCAGTTCTTGCATACACATGGGGCATGTGGGGAACTTTGACAGCAGATTGTCGTATTCAACACAGTGTGCAGGCGTCTCCTGACTGATGCAGCTTGAATCTTCACATTACGTGTTCCGAAGGGGGTCCAGCGACAATACATGCCAATAGCGCTCAGCTGCATTTTCGACCACGGACTTCGGCGCAGAAGAGCGTGGAATCCAGCTTTTGCTGTCTCCGAGATCAACGTGCCCTACAACTTGGACTTTAGGTGCACCTCAGGAAAAGCTGATCGCCTGGATTCACCTCGCGCCACTATCGAGCAAACTGGTGACCGATTCGACAAGCCCAGGCGCCGCTGCAAGTGCTTGCGGCCAAGATGCTGAAGGCAAAAATGTCCTGGAACGGCACCGCACATGATGCCACAGCTTCCCGCTTAACTAGTCTTTTTTTCAGACTATCAGGCGTCCTCCAAGTGCAGCTCGCCTCGGGAATGGCCAGCATCGAGCGGAGAGAAGAACTCGGAGACCTGCTCACAGTTTTACCAAGTCCGGCACCCACGCAAGCTGCGAGTGGCAAGACAACTTGGCCTTCGCCTCCGTAACCTCGTCCAGCGAATCCCAGGAAGGCGTCCACTTCCTTTGAAATAATCGGTGGCACAAACGGAACGACGACTTCCACTCGACGAGTCTGCCATCCAAGATGCTGCTTTCGGTCCTTGTCGACTAGAACGGCCCGGATGCCTTCCTTGCCCCAACGCATGTGGAAGGCTACCACAGCCCTCCTGTCGCCTACTCCATCGAGAACATTGGCACAAAAAACCTTATGTACTCCAAGCAATTATTGGCTGAGCTATGGTTCCCGACAGTTTCCTGGCCCGACACAGACATATACTGCTCTCCGGATCAAGTCAACAAATGCGATCAGCCGCGAAGAAGTCCGACAGCGGCTGTGGGCGCGTTGTAAACCTCTGCGAAAGGCGATACTCGATCCTTACTGAACGGCAGCGGCTCGACAATTGAATCAACCACACGGTAACCACACATCACAACGCCGGAAACCTTTTCTCTCAAGTGCGCCCACGCTGCGACGCACGCTACATGCAAAGCAGAGGGAAGAGCGACAACCGGACTCCAGGATGACTGTAGGGCATTGTTGCACTAACACCAGAACCGCTTCTTTCTGGCTATGCAATTTATACAAAACACCTAGCAAAAAGAGTCAATGAGTAACTGCTTCAAGTTCCAAGTTTCTGCAGCACCTCGCCGATGCTTCTGGGGGTCCGCTGCAGGTCCTGCATCGCCTCACGGGCGGAAGACTTCAAACAAGGCGAAGAAGAATGCCAGTCAGAGACTCAGAGAAATAGTAACCGATAGCAGAAGTGAAACCAGCAACGCTGTAGGACTCGCGGTACTTACAATGAGAATAACCGCAGCAGTTGCAAGAACTTGATTGGCAGTACTGGTTATCTTCGGCGTAGTCGTAGTAATCGCGGTCGCAGTGGTAGTCGTCGTGCGAGGGCCAGTGGTAGTGGTAGTGGCAGTAGCAGCAGCAGTAGCAGTAGCCGTAGCCCTAGCCCTAGCCCTGGCCGTAGTAGCAGTACCAGTAGCAGTAGCCGTGTAGCCGTAGCGGTAGCGGTAGGAGCAGCAGGAGCAGCAGGAGCAGGAGCAGGAGGAGGAGGAGGAGGAGTGGGAGGGGGAGGAGGAGGAGGAGGGGCAGCAGCAGGAGCAGGAGTAGTAGAAGGAGAAGGAGTAAGAGTAGGAGTAGGCATTTGAGCAGGAGCAGGACGAGGAGGAGGAGGAGTAGGAGAAGGGGTAGGAGTACGAGCAGGAGTAGTAATAGCAATAGCAATATTAACGCAGTAGCAGACGTGGTTGTGGCAGTTGCTGTTGCAGCAATAGCTGTAGGAGGAGGAGGAGGAGGAGGAGGAGGAGGAGGAGGAGGAGGAGCGGCAGCGGTATCAGTAGAAGAATCAGTAGTCACCGTGGTGAAAGAACAATGCTGGTCACAATACAACAATTTCAATAATAATGTGCGCATCTATAAGCAAACATACATACATAAATACATACGTAGCTACTTACTTGCCTACTTATTTACATCACATAGACACATACATAGGCACATGCATGCATGCATACATACATACATGCATGCATGCATACATAGAGTACAGGCCTGCGCAAGACAGATGTGTTGTTGTTCGCTGCCGCTAGGATCTTCTGACAATGATACCAGTTCATTTACGATTACCGTAAGGAGTAAGCATCATGCCGAAAAATCGGTGCAACATAAGGCCGGTTGTGCGAGGACGGCGCACTGCACACACGACCCACTTCAATTACGAGGGCCTTCATTATGGCCTAAGGCCTAAGATATTCGCACCATCCAATGCGCCAAGGTCGGCTCCGCGTCTCAACTCTCGGCCTGCAGCGTTACCTTGCAGGATGTGGGAGAGCAAGACCTCAGCTGCGCGCGCACACACACACACGCGCGTGAACCTAAGCTGCCCCTTAGACCAGCAACAGCTCTGCACATTCAAATCTCCAAGGTTCCGGCCGGAACATCTTCTGCAGCGTTTCGGCTGCAAAGCCACAAGTCTCAGCACGAAGGCGCACGACGATTTCCTCCGTCAGTGCCATTGGCCGGCATCCGAAAGACGTGCCAGAGAAATCACGCGAGACGGCATCAAAACGGACTGCCATCGGAACATGGAAGATAGTTGGCTGTCCTCAACCGTGGGTGCGTTAAAGCACCTGCGTGGTACAGAGGCACCAATTATCGCATCCTACAGCATGATTTCTTGCAGCCTACAGTGCAGCCAAGCCGTCCATCTTACCGGCAGAAAGCCTCCCGCCCCTGCCGGGCCTGTTGATCACAGAAAGATTCTCGGCAGAAAGTACCGGATTCTCGGATCGTGCTGATGATCTGCTGCTTGTTTCCGCGATGATCTCCTTGAACAGGCAAGAGAGAGAGCAGATGCCTGCGTCTGTGTCTGTTTTGGTGGCTGTCTAGGCGGGTGTACATGTGCATATATACATATCCAGGGGCACACACACACACACGCACACGTACATCCATACACACATGCTGCCTACCTACCTATCTACCGACCTATGTACATACTTACATATACATATGCCTACCTACGTACCTACGTACTTACGAACTTACGTACCTATGTACCTACATACAGACGTGCTTACTTGCCTACTTCCGTGTTACACATACGCACATGCCCTACCTTCCGGCCTGCCTACAGACATACATGCACCCATACCTACCTGCATACCTATCAACAGCCATAAATGCATACATACAGCCACGCAAGCGCACACATCAGTGCCTACATATATCCATGTGTTTGTGTAGGTGTGCATGTGCGCCGTTGTTTGCGTTGTTAGCTTGTTTTCGCCATACGTGCATGTACCAAGCGTGAGAGACGGATGGCAGCAGAAGCTTGTTACACTGCCACGTCCTCACAGAGTTTCATGGCAGCCGCTCCCACAAGGCCAGGTCGGAACCTGAACCCGCGGTGCCCGGGGAGTTTTCGACAC